GATAAATCGATGGGGAAATAATTACCTACAATTATGCTTCAAGTTTTCAAACTTAATCATAAGTCTTCTTTCTCATTGATGCAGAATTTAATTAACTTAATGGCTTTTAATCGTTATTCTGTTTTACACTCCCTTGTTTGAAATCACATTATTTAACCGAAAAATAAAAAATTTTTATTAATAATGCATTCTTATTGAATTAGATTTGTGGAGAAAATAACTTATTCGAAACGATAATATCTATTTAATTACAAGAAGAATAAATTAATTTAAAAAAATTTATGTGTCAGAACAAACTCATCATTGAAAAAGTATTTTACATTTTATGACAATTGAATATCGTGTTACTATATTCACACGTTTGATTACTCATTTTATTTATTGATTATTATGTATTATTTGTTTAATAAAATTACCTCTATTTAATAAATTTATCAATTTACGTTTAATTTGATAATCCATTATTTTTTTTATTGTTAGTTTATAAATAAAATAAATATTTTTTTATTATTATAATTAATATTATTATTATTACCTATTATTTGTTTAATAATATTATTAATTCTTATTATTTATCACTATTTATTTATTTATTATTACTTGTTATTATTTTATTTATTAATAAATTTTTCCTTTATAAATATCTAATATTTATCATTTTATATTATTTTTATAAATTTCAGAAAAAAAAGTTTATCTAACTTTTTTCACTTTTTGCGAATATTCTCTTTTTTTTCCCTTCTATTTTTAACTTTTTGGCAGAAATGGAGACTGATAGTTTTCACAGTCACGGTAGAAGAGATAAACTTCCACTGCTTCCGGAGAAAATATTATTTGCAACAAAACTTATTCTCACGTAATAAATTTTAACCCAAAATAGAATAGAATTTTCTTCTGTATTTCACTGAAAACAACGTACTAGATAAATATTCTCAAATTGAAAGGAATTTTTCTCCTCTAAACTCCATTTATATATTTTCTTCTCAAAGTGAAAATTATTTTCTCTAACACAAAAGAAAAAAAAACAAAAAATACATTTTTAAAATACAATATTTTTTCCGTTCGCAGTCAAAATATTATCAGTAAATTTCTCACATTTTTTTTCTTATTGAACTACTTTTTTCATTCTAACATTCAAATAGTAAAAATATGTAATAACATTTTGCTTTTAAATGAAAAAAAAAATATTTTTATTAATATTTATTAAGATTTACGTTTTTATTAACGATCTTTATATTAATTAATTAAATTTATTAACATATATTAACAAGAGATTTACAATTTTATTAACGATGTCTATATTAATTAATGAATTAATTAATTCATCAATTAATGAATATCTAATTAATGTTTTATATACAGGATAAAAATTAATTTTTATTTATTTTGCGCCTTTTGTAAAATTAGTTTAAAAATTATTTTTCCAGAGAAATATTAAATGAAGTCAACAATTAATTTGATTGGAAATTTATTATTCATTTAATCTATTGTTAACATAATATTTAGCTTTTGTTGAATTTCAAACATTTCAAATGAATATAAGATTTATAAATAATGGTATTAATTTATAACAAAAGGCTATTTTCCTGTTAATTATAATAAAGTTTTCATGTAACCTACCAAAATTAATGAGGTTAAACTAGTACAATATTGTATAGATGTATTTATTTTTTGCACACAGAAAAAAGTTATCTTGTTTTTTTTTTTAAAAAAAAGAATGTTTTTATATTTTTCTCAAATTTTATAAACTTTTGTTTACTGTATAAAAATATAAAATTATGTAAAAAAAATTTCTTGTTTCCATATTCTTGATATTTAATAATTAACTCAAAAGTTACAATTTTTTTTAAATTTAAAAAAATTTAAATTCTAAAAGTAGAAATAATTTTTATTAAATGAATATTTATTAGTTTATATTTGTGTTTTTTACTTATATTTATTTACATATTTATTATTTTATTTATTTACATATTTTTTAACTTATTTATATTAATTATATTTTATTATTATTGATTACTCCTAGTCTTCGACTCGGAGTGATTGTCTTCTTCATATTTTGTAATAATTTAAATTACCATAAAATTTTTTAAAAAGCAGTTAATTATTTACAAAAATCCTAATAAAATCCTTCGCCAGAATTCAATTATTTTTACAAGTAGTAAAATTTCTCAAAAAAATTCAATTATTTAAAAAAAATGTAATAAAATTCGTTGCAAGAATTCAATTATTTTCATAAATAATAAATCCATTATTCAGTATTTCATTTTTGAATGAATTTTTATTAGAAAATTCTAGAAGAATTCAATTATTTAAATTAAAAAATATATAATTTATTGAATAATTGAATGTTTGTTAAAATTGAATTCTCATAAAGAATTTTATCAACAAATTTTTAAATAATTGAATTCTTTTGACAAATTTTAATAAAATTTTTAAGAATAATTACATTTTTCGAGGAATTCGATTAAAATTGTATTAAAAATAATTAAAATCCTGCGATGAGTTTTATTATTTATGAAAATAATTCAAATTTTCCCAAGAATGTTATTAAAATTTTACTAAAATAATTAAATTTCGAAGAAGAATTTTATTATTTATAAAGATACTTGAAATTTTGATAAGAATTTTTTTTTAATTTTTAAACTTACCTAATTGAATTTCTGCGAAGAATTTTAATATTTTTGCGAAAATAATTTAATTCTTCCAACGAATTTTATTCAAGTTTATAAAAATAACTGAATTTCTGTGAAGAATTTTATTATTTATATAAATTATTGAATTCTTGCCAACGAATTTTATTCAAGTTTATAAAAATAATTAAATTCTTGCAATGAATTTTATAAAAATTTTTTTAAATAATAAATTTTTTTCCAAAAATTTTATGAAATTTTGTATTTTAAATAATTGAATTCCTTTGAAAATTTTATTACTTATGAAAATAATTGAATTATTTCTAAGAAATTTATTTAAATCTTTGTAAATAATTGAATTCCTGTGAAATTTTGCCAAGAATTTTACTAAATTTTTTTTAAATAATTGAATTTCGAAGAAGAATTTTATTATTTATAAAGATAATTGAAATTTTGATGAGAATTTTTTTTTTTAATTTTTGAACATAATTGAAATTCTGCGAAGAATTTCAATAACTTTTGAAAATAATTGTATTTCTGGAATCATTTCTAACCTCTTCAAAATTCAATTTTTTTTAATACTAAAATTTTTCTATCAATTTACACGGAGAGAGAATATATATTAAATTTTGTAAAAATATTTTCAAATTGGGGAAAAAGTGCGACAAAGCGAAATTTTGATATCAAAAAATACTAAACTTTAAAAAAACTTATATGAAATTTAGTAAAGTTATATTAGAATTTAATTAATATTCTTGATATTTGATATAATTATACTAAATTTCACATAAGTTTTTTTAAAGTTTAGTATTTTTTGATATCAAAATTTCGCTTTGTCGCACTTTTTCCCCAATTTGAAAATATTTTTACAAAATTTAATATATATTCTCTCTCCGTGTAGTATTGATGAAAATTGTAAAAATTATTCATTAAATAATTTAAGTCATCATTTTACGATAGTTCTTGAAAAATTAAGTTATTTGAAAATAAATTTTTGTAAGTTATAGAATAAAAATTGAAGGTTTTGTATTAAAATTCGTTGTATAATTTCATAGTTTACGAGGTAAACAAAAAAAACATCAAAATTCAGAGTTTTCTCATGAATTTTAAAAATTCAATTATTCCAGTATTTTTTCTAAAAATTCCTGACTTTTCCCTGATTTCCCCCTACCAATTTTATTTTCCCTGACTTTTCCCTGAATTTCCTGACTTCCCTGATCGGTGGCAACCCTGATACACTTTTTATCATTTAATGATTGAATTTTTTGTATTCAATTAATTGTATATATATTTTTGTTATTAATATTAAATTCAGTTTATTAATAGTAAATTCAGTTAATTTCAATAATTTATGATATCAGAAGGTAATAAGTAAATAAACGAATGGATTTTGTTATTACTCTATTAATATTAATATTATTTATGAAACTAAAGTGTATGTAGTGATATAAATGTTTTTTTTTGCAATTTATTTGAAAACAGTATCTATTTTAATTTCAATTACTTTTTTATGTCTATGCGTAAGTGCACATGTGCATGTATTTTGTGTACATGTGCATGTATTTTGTGCACATGCGCATGTTTTTTGTGTACATGCGCGTGCATTTTTGCATATGTGCATGTATTTTTGTACATGTGCATGTATTTTGTGCACATGCGCATGTTTTTTGTGTACATGCGCGTGCATTTTTGTATATGTGCATTTATTTTTGTACATGTGCACGTATTTTCTGTACATGTGCATGTATATTGTGTACATGCGCATGTATTTTGTGCACATGCGCATGTATTTTGTGCACATGCGCATTTATTTTGAGTACATGTGCATGTATTTTGTGCACATGCGTTTCTTAAATATTTTACTATCAAAAAAGATATAGTTGTTCCGTTTCTAATTTTCCTAAATTATCCTACTTCGAAAAAGTCTCATTTCCATGAAAAAAAATATATTCCAAACAATACAATGACTTTTCAAATCGAAATGATGCAAATGAATAGTTGCGCATCAAACTAACTTAAATATATTATTATAATTTAACTCGCCTCATTCTCTCCACATCCTTATATTATTATTATAGTATTCTTATTTCGTGGTCCATTGACTAGCTCTCCTCTCTCGCCTTTTATAATAGAGTGGAAGCTCTCTCGCTTGGCTATTATACACATGTTGCATTCATATTGTATATCTATATAGGCGCGCGATGAGCGTTGAAATCGTAACGCAACAATGTAATTTTTAACCACCCCAAAAGACCCCTATGAATGTCCATCGAAAGAGGAATTGGTGGCGCAATGGCCTTGCTCGTAATGTTACATATTGGAGAATGGAAGATGATCCTCGCTCTCGCGAAAGTATAAAACCCGTCCAAAGCTCTGGCTACCTCGCACTCTGCACCATAGTCATCTTCAATAAACACACTCGCGAGTCACACATCCGCGACGGTGAAGCGTGAACACGCGTTCATTCACGATTTTAATCACATTGCGTTTTATTTATTACGGAACTTTTAAAAAGTATAATATTGAATATGAGGGTGAGTATCACGATGGATATCATGCCGCATCGGCAACTTTGTGGAGCTTTATACACACACACACACACTTCAATATAAATAAATAAATAATTAAATCAAAAAATAAAAAAAAGTTGCGAATTCGAAAAATGTAAAAAGCCAAAAAGGGGATACAATGGAGGCTAATAAAAATGATAAAAATAAAAACGATGATAAGAAGGATAATTATAGCAATAATAATAATAATAAAAATATAAATAAATAAACAAATATTTAATAAAAATTAAATTTTTTCTCACTGGGGATTGTTTTAATTCGTGTACTTTAAATTTGAATTAATATTTACTAATTTGAATTAGTGACTGACTTTTTGCTTTTGAATTAGTAAATTTTAAATAAATTGAAATAAATTTTATTAATAAATTAGTAGAAATTACTATTTATTAGTAAAAAATATTAATTAAGACTTTAAGAGGCAAAAAGTCAGTCACTAATTTAAATTAGTAAACATTTTTATTCATTCAAATTTAGAGACTTAGAGAGTAAGATTGAAATAAAAAAATTAAATAAGAAGCAGTAATAATATAAATATTAATAATAAAAATAATAATTTTTTTTTTATTATTATTATTATTATTATTATTATTATTATAATTTCAGTGAATAGATAATAATAATATATAAAAAATATACAGTAAATTATTATATTTAAAAAATACACACTGAAAAAAAATTTATTTGATTCAAATAACCGATTACTGGACTATTATCAATTAAATATTTACTTGAATAAAATCATTTTTGTTTTGAATCAATTAAATGGTATTTTTTTCAAATACTAAAATTATTGGTTCAAATACAATTTAATTGACTCAAATTAAAATTATTTGACTACCAAATAAATATTGATTAGTAAATATTTTTTTGATAATAGACAAGTAATCGATTATTTAAATCAAATAAATTTTTTTTCAGTGCACTTATTAAAAATTGTATTATTATATAATATTATTGCAATAATAATTATTATAATATAACTAGCAACAATTCGCGCGCTAAAGCGAGCGGATAACTTCTTACTGCCTTTTTAAAGTAAAATTAGCAATTTTAAAAATAATAGAATTTAAAAATTTCCTAATTTAAATTTTTGTGGAAACCACTAAAAATAGTCAATTTTGGAGAAATTACAAATAATTGCCAAAATTCAATTATTTAAAAAAAAAAATAAAATTCTTCTTATAAAATTCAACTATGTTCAAAATTTGAAAAAAATTCTCGTAAAAATCCCAATCGATATCTTCATGTTTTATAACAATAATTTTATAAATTGTTTAATTTAAAAAAGGTTTGAATTTGAAATTTTTGAATGTCTTAATTCCTGTGGAAAATCCTGTTCCAAAAATAAGATTAAAAATAGGAATTGTGCAAATATTTTTCTTCTCTTTCTAAAACAAAATAATAATTTTGTTAAAAAAATTGTAATTCATGAACAAAAATAAAGCAAAATAAATAAATTTTCACATTTGTTTAACAATTATCTAATTTTTTTTAGAAGTAAAGAACGAAAATCTGCATAATTTACATTTGACAAAACATAATATTTAACAAAATTTTATTCTTTTAATGAAAGGAAGTGAAAAAAATTCGAATGATTTCTATTTGTCATTACAATTTTGAATTAATTATAAATTAATTATAATTATAGTTAATTATGTGATTATTATTATAATTATATTATTTTAAAATAAATAATATTATTATATATAAATAATAATACATAATAAAATAATAAGTATTTTTGTATTCGGAAAAAAGTAGAGAATTTTATCCACAAAACAAACGAGGAAGTACATTCAGGGGAAAAATGAAAACAGAGTCGATTGTTTGTGGTTTACTGAAAAAGCATGTGGAATCACATTTTCAAGATGTTTTTAAATCAAATAGAAAAAGGCAAAGAAAAACTTTCAATCTTTATTTGCAGTTTGTATTTCAAACTTGGATAAATATTTATTAAGTGGAAAAATTTTTGCAGTAATAAGACAATATTCTTTATAGAAAAGGGGAAAAATTTAATTTTTTTCCTTTTTTTGATAAACGAAAATTTTTTAGGAGAATTTCAAAATTGAAAATAAACTGTAGTATTCGTTTCAGAGTTTTTCATTTTTATTATTGAAAAATATTATTTTCAATTTTTTACTTTAATAAATTTATTGGAAAATATTATTTTCAAATTTTTACTTTATTAAATTTATTGAAAATTTTAGAGAATTATTAAATATTGGAATAAAATTTGTTCGATTCAAATAAACGATTATATCTATTATTTATTATCTATTATTAAATAAATATTTACTTGAATCAAATAATTTTCACTTAAATTAAATAATTGTTTATTTAAGGGCATTTGAACCTTGATGACGTCACACATGCTTTGCACAAACTGAAACGTCATCAAGGTTCAAATGCCCTTAAATCTGATAAATTCTATTTTTGTACTAATAATTTCCATATTTAAAGCAAATTAGTTGCTTTATTTATTTTACTTATTTTTAAATAATTGAATACAAATAAATATTTACTTCAATCAAATAAATTTTAATTCCACCAAATAAATTTTGTTTGAAGCAATAATTTCAGTAATTGAATCAAATTATTTGATTTATTTATTTAATTGACTTAAATGAAAATTATTTGATACAAATAAATATATATATATATATATATATATATATATATATATATATATATATATATATACTTGAATAAAATAATTTTTATTTAAACCAAATAAATTGTATGTGAAGCAATTCTATTTGAAAAATTTCAGTATTTGAAGCAAATTATTTTCTTTATATATCATTGAATTAAACATTTATTTTCAATTTTCTACATTTTAACTGACTTTAGTTTAAGAATTATTTGCATTGGAAAGAAAAGTATTTGATTCAATTAAACGATTTTGCGTAGGTCAATGAATTAAAGCAAATAATTGTTTGATGAAGCAGCTAATTTATTTTTAAATACAAAAATTATTGGTTAATTCTTTGATCCAAGTTAATAAATAATTTGAATGGAATAAGTTTTAATAATTAATAATAAAGAATTAACTATTAATAATTTATAATTAATAATTTATAATTAATAATTAGTAATTACTAATTACTAATTACTAAATAATAATTAATATATTAGTACATTATTAATAATTTTAAATACTATTAGAATGAAGTAATTTTCAAAGTGAATACAATGAAACAAGTAACAATGAACATTCTATTTAATATTTTAATTAAAAATTTCAAAAACCACATTTAATTAATTCGACTCTGTATTTAAATTTTTGTCAGAATTTTTCATAGTCTTTTTATGTTTCCGACATTTTGTGTATAAAAAATAATTTAAACACAATTGTTCCCTCACAGAATTTTTACCAAACTGTATGATGATAATAGATTTTACAACGTACATATTTTTAATATCATAATATGCGATAACGCAGACCTACATATATGAAAGAAAAAACAGAAAAAAAAATTCACCCAAATTAGGAAACGGATAATAAAGATTGGCACACACACATAAACACACACACACACAGAGATGGTAGTGTGTTTACTTTAAACGCAAATTTTTCCCAGCTTAACGGGTCGTCGGACATAAAGCCACAAAATGATCCGGATTTACGAGATCATAATATCCTCCACTTTCGCGACTTTTATTTCGCCTCGATATGATTGGTGTGTTCCGTAAATCATCAACGTGTTAACTTCTCTTTCGAAATAGTGTGGAACATCACGTACGCATATATACATTTATACCCCCGTCCAGCATACAATGATATTCTCTTGCCCCATTAGTATTCATCCTTGATGTAATTTTTCTTCAAAAAAAAGAAAAAGAAAATCAAATTAAAGACGCGTAAAATTATTTTACATAAATTACACGGCCAAAAATGATACTATTTTTTTTTTTACAAATACGGTCACAACTAATTTTCTATACACAGAAAACGTGAGTAATATTCTATGGAAAATTTTCTATTGACAAACGAGTGTTTGAAACATTCAAGTATTTCTTAAAATTTAAATTTAATTTTATAATCGAATTCTGTGTAGAGAAACATTTAAAGAAAATGTCAATCAAGGCTATTGCCAAGGGGTTGACACAGGTCAGGAAATCAGGGAATTCAAGGGAAAAGTCAGGAAACGAACTCTGAAAAAAATTTATTTGATTCAACTAAACAATTACTTTTCTATTATCCAATAAACATTTACTTGAATCAAACAATTTTTAATTTAATGCTATCATTAATTTAATTTTTTTAATTAAATGATCCTCTTTGTTTCAAAAACTGAAGTTTTTGATTCAAATACACAATTTATTTGAATTGAATAAAAATTATTTGATTCAAGTAAATATTTATTTCAATAGAAAAGTAATCGGTTATTTGAATCAAATTAATTTTTTTCAATGTAAAAACTGATCAGGAAAAACTCGGAAAATTTTATCTAAAGTAGTGGAAAAGGTATTAAACTTTTAGAATTGAAAAAAAAAAATTTTGTGCTCACCTTATAAACTTTAAAATTTAAAGTCACATTGAATTTTAATAAAAAAAAACCTATTTTTTCTATTTTTGACAATAATTGAATTTTAGAAAATATGAAATTAAATTTACATATTTTGAATAATTTGGTTCATGAATAACTTTCATGTTATAATTATTATTGTTAATATAATTAATTAATTAATTAATATTATTATTATTATTTTATTATTTTTATTATTATTAATTTTAGTATTTATAAATTAATTAACGAATAATTCTACTTAAATATTGAAAAAATTGAAGAATGAAGTTGGTGAAATTTAAAACGTGAAAAAAATATTTTTCTATTTAAATATTTAGAATTTAAACAAAAATTTTGTTTGGATTGTGTTTTACATAATTATTTGATTAATTATTTAGAGTAATAAATTTATAATTAAAAAATTGTATTCTGTTCCGCTAAAAAAAAATATTTACCTTTCAATCATTATTCATAAACGTTGTGAACTTTACTAAACCAAATATTTGAAGAGTTTACATTCACAAAATTTTTTAATTTTATAAATTTTTGAAAATCATAACTCTTGTAGATAAATAATAATGTAATATTAAATTAAAAAAAAATTTAATAAAAATCTATCTAGAATTTTAATAGAAATGATTTTATAGAATGATTCTACATAAAATTTAGTGCGAACGTTCTATTGAATTTCACTAGAATCATTCTATATAAATTCTAATATGACTTCTATTTATTAAATAATGAAATTAATGCGAAAAAATTTATAAAAATTTTGTAAATAATTGAATTCCTGCATGAAATTTTTATTATTTTTGCGAAAATAATTAAATGTTTGCGTAGAATTTCATTAAAACCTATTTTAATTAATTGAATTATTTTGAAAAATTTAATTAAATTAATAGATATTGAAAATCATATTAAATAGAGGAAAATTTTTGAAAATAATTTAAATTTTGTCGAAAATATTATCAAAAATGTTTTAAATAATTAAATTGATACGAAGAATTTTATTAAAATTTAGAAAAATAATTTAATTCTTGCAACGAGTTTTATTATAATTTTCAAAAATAATTGAATTCTTACGACGAACTTTATTAATTTTTTTTTTTAAATGATTGAATTCCAGCGACGAATTTTATAAAAAACATTTTAAATAATTGATTTTTTTTCGAAAAATTTTATGAAAATTGTGTTTGAAAATAATTAAATTCCTGTGGAAATTTGATTACTTATGAAAATAATTGAATTCCTAAATATTTTTCCTGAAATATTAAAAATTATTTACAAAAATAATTGAATCCATGTAAAAATTTTACATTATTTAAAAAAATAATTGAATTATTGCCAAAAAAAATTTATAAAAACTTTGTAAATAATTGAATTCTGGTGAAATTTTTATTATTTTATGAAAATAATTAAATGTTTGTGTAGAATTTTATTAATATTTTTTTTTAAATAATTGAATAGTTTTGGAACATTTTATTTGGAAAATAATTGAAATTTTGCCAAGAATTTTATTAGAATTTTTTGGAAATAATTGAATTTCAGAGAAGAATTTTATTATTTCTAAAGATAATTGAAATTTTGACGAGAATTTTTTTTTCAATTTTTAAACATAATTGAATTTCTGCTAAAAATTTTATTATACTTTTAAAAATAATTGAATTTTTGCAATAATTTCTTACTTTTACAAAATTGAATTTTTTCTCATGTTTTTAACTAAACATCTTCTATAAATCCATTAATTTTATTGATTTTTAAAAAAAGTTCTTTAAGAATTTTCAAATTTATTTGTTTACAATTCAATTTTACAAAATTTTAATTATTCGTAAATTCTTCTATTAAAAATATATTAAAAAATAGTTTCTAAACTAAATAATTTCAAAAAAAAAATCCGCAATTAAAGTTTTTCAAAAAAAAAAATTAATTCCATAGAATTGTAAGTTGAAAATATGAAAAATTCTAATATTCAAAGATTTTTCAAAGATTTTTCGATTTTTGAATTCTTTTGGAAAATTTTATGAAAATAGTAGATATTGAAATTTTGAAAATCATTGAATTGAGGAATATTTTTGAAAATAATTGAATTTCAGAGAAGAATTTCATTATTTCTATAAAGATAATTGAAATTTTGACTAGAATTTTAAAAAAATTTTCGACATAATTGAATTTCTGCGAAGAATTTTATTACTTTTGAAAATAATTGAATTTCTGCAATCACCTGTAATTTCTGAAAAATTCTTCAAATTATATCGTAGAATTTATGAACTTTTCTTGCTTTTTCAATCATATTACGGACTTTACGGAACTTTTTTTTTTTTAAAAACTGACTTTTACGGACTTGTAACAAATTTACGGACCATTACGGAATTTACGGACCTAGTTCGAGCCTTGTGATTCTGATTTTTAATGATGGAGGTCAACAAAAATAAAATTTTTCCGACCATAATAGATCTGGTTGACAATCTCTTTTTGTCGAATTAAACAAAAAAATAAAGAGATCTTAATACACTATAAAGAGATCTCAGCAAATGAATAAGATCTTAAAGTGGAAATATATTAAACATTTGCGTCAATTAAGCATGTTTAATTTAGATACCATTAAAACAAAGTTACCGTGAACTCGGAGGAAAATTATTATAGTACATAAATCTACATTTTCTATGTCGAAAAGTGTTTCTCATATGCACCATATATATATATAGTAGTGTTTCCACTTGAAACTAACAGAAAATCGCTCCACACACTTCAAGTACTAGTACTATGGAGATAATGCTGCTCTTAGTACGCCGATGCTCTTAGACTGATGATATTCTTAAAGCTTAATCTGCTGTTTATTACAACTCCTATATAATCCACATACATGAAATCTGCATTATGCACATCACTCGGTATATACATATAGTATATGGGAAAGTTAATTATTATTGAGCAAATACAGCAATGGACGTCGATGTATAGCGTCGTTTGTTTTCAAAGCATCAAGTGTCATTTGCATTATATGTGGACATTATAATTGGAGGGGATGATATGAGGACTTTTTGATGAGGGAATTCTCAGACATCTACCTCTATTATCGATTTTAATTTAAGCTCTCCTGTCAATAACTAATCAACCTCTTCTTTATGTATGGACCGCCTATTAAATTCTCCTTTGTTCTTTTGATAAAAAACTCTATTATGAATTTTTTTTGTTTTGATAAGAGAAAATAAGTCATCATTATCAGGAATATAATTCCAACAAAAAGTAAGAGGATTGATAATATTGTTTTATCTTTATCTTGTTTCCATGTTGAGTTGAAATTGAAAATCAGTTTTAGAAAATATTTTTAAATTTAAAACCAAATTAACAAATTGTACGGATTTTACAACATTACATTACAACAAATACCAAAAATGCCTAACAAAACCGACACAGTTTTTTCTGCAAATTTTTTCTGCAAAAAAACGAATCAAAATGTTGCTTCGTTTTACGAAGCAACGTTTTGATTCGTTTTTTGTCTCAATTTGATATCTGTAGAAAAATGTTATTTTTAATACTCAAAAAAAAGATATAATATCCAAACAACAAACACAATAGTTCCTTCCACAATGGAGAATAATTATTATTGTCGATCGTTACATTCGAGGAAGAGTAATTGCATGACCATTTGCAGGTGTTGATAATAGCAACAGCAATAACATTACTGGTTGTGGAAATATTAGCCAGACCAGAACCGCCAGTTAGTCAATACTTACCCCCAAATCAGCTTTATGGCCCGCCGCAGAGACCTAGTCTAAGTAACCCGATTGCTTCGCCAGCTAATTTCGGAATCAATCAGTACCTACCTCCTAACCAACAATATGGACCACCTGGTGCTGGCGGCGGTGGTGGTAGCGGTGGATACGGCGACGAATCAAACGTAAGTTTTCATCAAAAAATTTCACATACCATATCTGTAACAAAAGAAAATTTCCAAAATTATTAACTATTTTTCGCCAAAGAAAAAGAATCAGCAGAAAAAAATAAATTTCGTTCACTTAAAGCATTTCTAAATTATTTCCACAATTCAATTCCATAATTTCACAAACAATAATAATTTGAATTTTTCACGAAACAATTGTTAATTCATATAGTCAATAATAAAAATTAATAAACAGTAAATATTAATTATAATTATAATATAATTCAATCATTAATTATAACAAAAAATTATAATAATTAAACTGATCCTGCCTTTTACGAAATTAAAAAATAGGATTAAGACAACGTTTTGTCACAGTGACAATTTCGAATATAAGTTACATAATCATTCCGATTATTATCGGTAACTTAATTACGTTTAAAATAAAGAAATTATTTTCTACAACAAGAGGATTGTTAAACAATGATTCTGTAAAAAATGGTTCTATTAATAATAGTCTATAAAGAATATAACAATAATGGTCTATCAACAATAGTCTATAAAGCCAAAAACGAGGAAATGGTAACAAAAAATGATTGAAGTAATGAAAAAAAAAAAACAATAATAATGGCTTTGAGAAATAATAACAGGGCAGAAAATTTAATTAGAAATTGGATCAAAGTAATAGCTCTCTATCTGCCACTGTTTCGCAATGATTCATTTCCTCAACACACAGACACACACTGGAATTCTGTATCAAAAACTATCAATTATATTTCATCGTAAATGCTCGAATTTGTCCGATTAAATTCAACATTTGGTAATTTAATTAAAAACAATCGATTTTTTAATATTTTAGTATTTTTATGTAAAAAATCAGAATTCCTATTTAAATACTTTTAACGAATTTATCTTAGTCCTAATTCTAATTAATTTCAGTCCGTGGCCTGTAATAATAATTAAATATTAATTAATCTAAATTATATTGATTTAGTAAACATTTGATTAAAATTGTATTAAAAATAATTGAATTTTTGAGTTTTATTATTTATGAAAATAATTGAATCCCTATGAAGAATTTTATTACTTTTGAACATAATTGAATTTTTGCGAAGAATATTATTACTCTTGAAAATAATTGAATTTTAGCAATAATTTCTAACTTTTACAAAATTAAATTTCTTTTTCGTGTTTTTAACTAAACATCTTCTATAAATCCTTTATTTTTAATAATTTTTGAAAAAGTTCTTTAAGAATTTTTAAATTCATTTGTTTATAATTAAATTATTCGTAAATTCTTTAATTAAATATACATTAGAAAATAAAAACTTTAAATAAATTCAAAAAAAATCCGCAATTAAAGTTTCTCAAAAAAAAATTAATTCCAGAGAATTGTTAGTTAAAAATATAAAAAATTCTAATATTCAAAGATTTTAATCTAAAATCTTTTCAAAATTCAATTATTTCTAAGAATTTACGCACTAATGCTTTTAATATTCAATTATGATCTAAAATTTTAACTGAAATCCATTTTTAAATCAATGTTTATGAGAAAATTCTACTAGAATTCAATTATTTAAATACAAAAGTAACAATTTATTGAATAATTGCATGTTTCTTAAAATTGTTGTATGAAAAATAATTGAATTTCGCAAAAGAATTTTACAAGAGTTTTTGAAAATAATTCAATGCCTGTAAAATTTTTATTATTTATGAAAATAATTAAATAGTTGTGTAGAATTTTATTAAAATGTTTTTCTAGTAATTGAATTCTTTTGGTAAATTTTATTAAAGTTGTAGATATTAAAAATCATTGAATTGAGAAAAGTTTTTTGAAAATAATTGAAATTTTGAAAATTTTTGACAATTTTTAAAGATAATTGAATTTCTGCAAAGAATTATATTACTTTTGAAAATAATTGAATTCTTGATACGAATTTTATTAAAATTTATTTTTAAATAATTGAATTCTTTTGTGAAATTTTTTTAAAATAGTAGATAATTATTAAAAATAATTGAATTTTGACAAATTTTTGAAATTCATTCAATTTCTACGAAGAATTTTATTAAAATTATTTTGAAAAAAATTGAATTTTTTTTTTTTATAAAAATAATTGAATTCCAAAAAAGTATTTTATTATTTTAGAAAATAATTGAATAATAATTTATGAAAATAATTGGTAAATATTTCAATTCCTGTGAAATTTTTATTATTTACGAACATAATTAAATATTTGCGTATAATTTTATTAAATTTTTTTTTAAATAATTGAATTCTTTTGTGAAATTTTATTAAACTAGCAGATATTAAAAATCATTGAATGGAGTAAAATTTTTGAAAATAATTGAAATTTTGCCAAGAATTTTATTATACTTTTGAAAATAATTGAATTTTTGCAATAATTTGTAACTTTTAAAAAGTTGAATTTTTTTTCCTGTTTTTAACTAAACATTTTCTTCAAATCCATTATTTTTAATAATTTTTGAAAAAGTTCTTTAAGAATTTTCAAATTCATTTGTTTACAAGTCAATTTTACAAAATTTCAATTATTCGTAAATTCTTCAATTAAATATATATATATATTAGAAAATAGAAATTTTAAATAATTTAAAAAAAAATCCGCAATTAAAGTTTCTCAAAAAAAATTAATTCCATAGAATTGTTAGTTAAAAATATAAAAAAATTCTAATTTTCAAAGATTTTAATCTGATTTTTGGATTTTTGAATTCTTTTGGAAAATTTTATGAAAATAGTAGATATTGAAAACCATTGAATTAAGGAAAATTTTTTTAAATAATTAAATTTCGGAGAAGAATTTAATTATTTCTAAAGATAATTGAAATTTAGACTAGAATTTTAAAAAATTGTTAATATAATTGAATTTCTGCGAAGAATTTTATTACTTTTGAAAATAATTATGAACAAAAAGTTTTGAACGTTCAAATGAACGAAATATTTTTTGTTAAAAATATTTTCATAGATTATTGATTACAATTCAAATTAAAAACTCAAATTTTACATTTAGAAACATTATAATTAATTTGCTTAATAGTGACGCAAAATTATAGTAATAAAAATTTAATTTGAAGAAGAAATAAATAAATTTCGTTCATTTGAACGTTCAAAACTTTAACCTCCTAAATAATTGAATTTCTGCAATCATTTGTAATTTCTCTAAAATTCTTCAAAGTTACGGACAAATTTTTTAAATTAATTAAATTTCTTCGAAGAATTTTATTAAAATTATTTTGAAAAAAATTGAATTTGTTTTGTTATAAAAATAATTGAATTTCAAAAAAGAATTTTATTATTTTTAAAAATAATTGAATAATAATTTTTGAAAATAATTTATAAATAATTGAATTCCTGTGAAATTTTTATTATTTACGAAAATAATTAAATGTTTGCGTTGAATTTTATTAAATTTTTTTTTTAAATAATTGAATTCTTTTGTGAAATTTTATTGAAGGTGCAGATATTAAAAATCATTGAATTGAGGAATATATTTTTGTTTCGCTGTTTTTTCAGGGACCGGCTAAATACGATTTCGAATGGATGGTGTACGATCAGCCGTCGGGTAATGATTTTGGTCAAAAGGAGAGTCGCGATGGCGACGTGACACGAGGAATGTATTACGTACTACTTCCGGATGGACGTCGACAAAGAGTTGAATACGAAGCAGATCGTGATGGTTACAGACCGAAAATTTCATATGTACAAGAAGGAACAGGAATCGGTGGTGGATATCCTGGAGGAACTGGACCAAGTGCTGGTGGTAGTGGTGGTTATCCAGGCGGTTATCCCAGCGGTACAGGTGGCGGTTACAATTATTGAATTATCGATTATCATATTCATATATATAAAATTTACACAAAATTACCTCCATCAATTTCGAGCATTAAACCAATTCAAAATAAGCAGTAATGAAAACTTTAGAAATTTCCGCAAACCCTAAAAAATCTCCCATAATATTTAATATCATATCACATTGAAATAATTTTCAATAAATATCACAAACGACAGTTAATACATTCATGCATTTAAACTTTATACGGAAAGATCAATTTCAAGACAGTGGAAATAAAAATTTCTTTTGCCCCCCAAAAAGAATTTCAAGTATTAAAAAAAAATAACTTCCTAATCAAATTCTTGTCTTGTATCTTAACAAATTTACGATACGAAACTTCCTTTTCCTTGCTTACACTTGAAAGAAATTTTTCTTTCCGGGTGATTATTAGATTCTAGTCTTTTTCGCAGCCAGAGGGTTTGCTGGTCTATAAAGTCTTACTGCTTCTGGTTGAAATCGAATTGGAGCAACCCCACCTGTAGAAAATAAGCATAGAATTGTACAGTACATTTTTTCCCCTCTCAATTTTTTTTTCTCCTATAAAAATCTAATTTTTGCTCAATAATAATATTTGGATTTGTTTTTATTTTTTGAGATCGCAATCAAAATAATTCATGAAAATAAAAAATCTCTGTAACATAGTTCATTGCATACGCGATCGAAATAATACAATGTATATTAAACATTATTATTATTATTATTATTATTATACATATATATATATATATGAATGTTATGGATTCGTGTATATGCATATTTTCATGTAAGCTAGGCAGTTACTGTGTTTATGTAATATATAATGATTTATAACAAAGTACAGCATCACAATTATTACCGAGACCGTAATCCTACGCCATCGGCTTAATCTACTCATAATTGCATCATATACTCTTTATATTAGTACACGTATATGGAACGACTTCCACGAGACGGCATTTAATGCACTTATATACCATATATACAGTGCACAATATGCGAGAGTAGACTTTAAGTCGTGACTTATTCTAATTCACTGAAAATCAAGAGACAAATTTTCATTATAAACTTTTTTTTTAACAAATTAAAAACACGCGAGAATGGATAATTGAAATAATTCAGGTAAATGAATCTTTTTTTAAATCAAATTACTAATTAATTTTATGCATTCCTTTTCACACGAATAAAAAAAAAATGACTGAAAAATTGAAAAAAATTTATTATTGACTAATAATTAAAATTATTATTATTCTTAAAATTATTACGTCAACCAGGGGTTAAAAAACCTTAAAAAAACGCTTACGTAATACTTGAATGACCTCTATTAGGTTTCATTGTAGACAACTAAAAGTTTCCTATGGTTAAACCAAGAAAAAAATTATTTTTAAATTATTTTGGTACAAAAATGCAAAAGTAATTTTTTTTCGGGAATTATGCAAACAATTCGAAATGAAAAACCTAAAATTAAAAGATTCACACTAAAAAAGTTATTTTTTTTATAGATCTTAATTAATTTTTATTGAAAAATAAATTTAAAACTATGAAAAATTTATTATTTATTATAAAATTTATTTACTTTTTAAAATTAATAATAATAATAAAAATAATTCAATATTTTTGGAAGCCATAAAATTATATAAATAAAAGATATTTTGATTCGTCTGTTTGGCCTAATGGCTTCAAACCATTAGGCCAAACAGAAGAATCAAAACATCTTTTATTTAATTAACAAAAATAATAATAAAAATATGAAATTTTTAGTTTTTTGAATTTTTAGTGTTCGGAAATTTATTTTCAGTAGTAAAACTCGGTTTTAGTCAGACGAGAGATATTTTAAATTCAACGGTTTGGTTTTTAGTTTTTTGAATTTTTAGTGTTCAGAAATTTATTTTCAGTAGTAAAACTCCGTTTTAGTCAGACGATAGGTATTTTAAATTCAACTGTTTGAGTAGAAAAAGGGCATTACAGTCAGACGACAAAATTATTTTTATCTAAATTTAGATTTAGTAGTAAAAACCGTTTTAGTCAGACAAGAATATTTTTTAACACACTGTTAATTTTAGTAGGAAAATATAATTTTTATTAGATACTAATATATTTTTATCCAATTTTTAGTTTCAGCAGTAAATTCTCACTTTAGTCAAGACTCATTCTTCGCACTCGATAATTAATTTTAAAAAAAGTGGCAAAACGTATCTTTAAGACTGAAAAATATACAGTAAAAAGTAGCTATCGAAAAATTAAATATGATGACTAAAAAAATTCGTCTTAGTCGAGTCGCTAATTATTAATCAATAAATCCCTGACTTTTTCCTGATTTCCAAAAAAAAATATTCACTTTTTCTTTTTATCGTGGTAATAACTTCAACTCTAAATTGTAAATTTAGACGAAATTCAATTATTTTCCAAATTTGTATTTAGAATTCTTCAAAAATACTAATATATTTAATTATTTAAAAATAATTTTTAAAAGTGAAATAATAAAATTCATTAAAATATGAAAATTATTGAAATAGAATTTGCCAAAATTTCCAATTCATAGGAAATTTAATTCAATTTTTTAAAATTATTTGCAGGAATTTAAGAATCTCCAAAAAATATCTAATTATTATTTTTTAAAAAACTAATCTTCTTTTCATAATTTAATTTAATTATTCAAAACTTGAATAATTTTTCCAAAATAAATATTTAAATGCTCAGTAGCAATACAGGAATTAATATTTAAAATTATTTCAGTGTAAAACCTTTTTGAAATTCAATTATTTCTAAAACTTACTGTACATTTTCCAAAATTCAATCTTTTTTTTAATTTTTAAATAAAATTATTCAAAACTTTAACAATTGTTATTAAAAAATAATAAATATTTAAATATTCTTATAGTTTTACAACAATTAAAATTTTCAGTGACAGATCAATTCTTAAAAAATTCTACGAGAATTAAATTATTAAAAAAAAAATACAAAAATAAATAACTAATTGAATAATTGATTATTTCCTAAAATTGAATTCCTATAAAGTATTTTATCAAAAGTTTTAAAAGCAATTGAATTCTTTCAAAAGATTTTAATAAAATTTTTAAGAACAATTGCATTTTTCGAGTAATACATTTAAATTTGTATTAAAAATAATTGAAATCCAGCGAAAAATTTTATTTTAACAATTATTGCAACGAATTTTTTTAGCATTGTGTTAAATAATTTAATTCCTTCGAAACATTTTATTATTTCTGAAAATAATTGAATTCTTGCAAAGAATTTTATTAAATTTTAAGGTTTTATTTTTTAATGCCCTTGAAAAAATACCGAAATTAAATTTTTTTAAATAATTAAATTTTTTTGTGAAATTAAGTACTAGTGTAAATTCTAAAAAAGAAAAAAGTAGCTTTTAGTTTCACAAACAGAAAAAAAAGTATCAAAATAGTAGCAAACTGTAAAAAAAAAGTACAAAATAGTAGGTTTTAATAGATGAGTGTGATGTTTGAAGAAGACAATATTAGAATATAAAAATTTTATTCTTTAAAAACTGGCATTGTCCCTAATAACTTCTGGGATATCAAAATAGCGCCCGTGGATGGTAAATAAAATTTTCAAAAAAAAATATCTTTTTGCAACAAGGAAATTTTTTTTTTTTAATTTTTAAGTAATCCATCTTTTTATATGAAAAAACGGAAGCAGAAGAGGAAGAAGAAGGGAAAATAATAGAAAAATTTCATATATTTATGAAGCAATTTTAAAAATCGATATTTGAACAGTCCAAGTAGAATTTCAGCCTCTTTGAAATGGAAAATAGACACTATTATGCTAACTTGTAGAAAGATTGCTTGACGTTGTGAAATAACATTTAAATTTTGATTGTTTGGAATTGTATATATATATATATATATAACAAAACTCGTGAGAAAAAATTTATACCGCTTTCATTGTAATTATAAAAACCGGAAATTAGATATATATATATACATTCACATCCTTTGGAGAATTGGATTATAAATCAGCAAAAAAAAATTTTTTAATCCTGTATGAATAATTATTGTACCTTAATACTACAATTTACCATAAAGTTCACTTTTTTCATTTTTATTATTATTTCCCTTCATTTTATTATTCTTACCTACAATTTTTAATTTCTTTTTTTATATATTCACAAAACGGTTGAAATAATTCTTTAAAAAAAAATTTCCTATACTGCCATAAGAAAAATTACTCAATATTAATGGCATACAAAATTGGTAGGACTTTCATAAAAAAAATCTTCCACAAAAGATAAAGGTGATTTTTTTTCAAAAAATTTCTTAAAATATTTCTCGTTCGTGAAAGATTTAAGAAATAATTTTTCATTTCATCCATCATCGATAAAATACTAAATTTTTTTTATATTCGTACATAAATACATTCATTTAATAAGTGGAGGAGTTTGTCAATTTTTCATTTACTTTTGTCTGGCGTCTATTATATTTTAATTTTAATAGTCATTTCGATTTTAACGTCAAAAATTTCAATGGAAAACTGCCATGATTTTGAGATATCCTGAATGAATAAATACTCATTCAGAATATCTCATAATAAGAACATTAATTAATATCATTCTTAATTATCAATTATCAATTATCAATTATCTTTTGTGATACAATAGAAAATGTAATTTAATTTCCTTAAAATTGATATTTAATATAAATTGCTATACTTAATTCAAATATATAAATAATTTTAAGTGATTTTTTTTAATTAAAATCAGTTTATAAACTTAATCCCAATAGAAAATATCTACTGACTTTGATTTAAAAATATTATTTGTTTAATTCAAATATTCTGTTTTGATTTAAACAAAAAATATGTTTAAAAATGTTATGGTTGATTCAAACTTGAAAGTTGATTATAAATAATTTAAAATAAACAATAACTTATGTTTGAATTAAATATATTATTTCTTTAAATGAACCAAAATGTACTAACATAAAATATTATATAATATAAAAATTATGTATAATTAATTATAATATTCACTAAAAATAAAATATAAATAAAATACAATTCTCAATGAAATTAATACTGGAATAATAGAATAAAATGGTAGTTATAAAAAAAATATGTTATGCAAGTTGTGTATTCAAATAAAATAAAACTTTAAGTGTGATAAATTGTGTTTCTAGTTTAACAGAAGTCTGATTATCTTTTATCTGATCTTTTACAAATTTTCGCTATGCTACAATGAGTTAATTAATTATACTGCTGGCAACTTCGTTCAACGCGTTAGCAACCAAGTTCACAGGAAGCGCCGACACTAATGAAAGTACGGGCAATTCCTTCCTCACTTGCCCTCAAGTCATGGAAAAGTAGAGTAAACGGAAGGAGAAAGGTGCCATGTATTTCTTCTCAAAGAAACAAAAACGAAAAAAAACACACTTGACATTCAACATTTAAAGTTACCGTTTTGCATTGTACTAAACTTATTTTTTCAATTACACAATAAAAAATAAAAACACTACATAATATAAACTTTATTAATTATTACTAATATTACTTTTTCGACTACATTATTAAATTATTATTTTACTCAATATTGATATTAATTAACAAAATCAATAATTAATAATGTTGGAAAATTTTAATAAAAAGAAGTAAATAATAAAAATAAAATTTCTCTTATATTTAATTCTAGTATAAAATATATATGGTGCACATAGAAAATGATATATTCTAGCACATTACATGCTTTACTGGTTTCAATATATATTCCATAGTTAAATTTCAAAGGGTCTCGTGTAAATCAACGTTAATCATCAAAGTTCATCCTTTTATATGAAATTTCCTCTGGTTCCCAATGAAACAAAAAAAAATCCCCCCTTCGATAAATTTTCAACAGAAAAAAAAATTAGTGATTTTAAAAATATTATTTATAAATAAAACAAGATATTTCTAGTCCACATGATTTATTTTTTTTTTTTTATAAAAGTGACAATAAAAAATATCCAGCTGACAATAAAAATCAATACTGACGCATTTTCGAACAATTTTTTTTTCTACAGCGTATAAAGTATAGAAAATATGAATTTTCATTGAATTCAATTTTATTTGAAAATTTATATCAAATTAAAAGAATTCAATTATTTACTTTTAACTTAAAAGTCTCAAATTTCGCGCAATAAATTGATACCGAAAAATGTGAAACAAATTAAAAATTGATCAAATTTTTGGTTTCAATTTTATATCTACTTTTACGAAAATTGTACAAAACTATTCATTTATTCAGTATGATATTCAATTTTTTTTTTGCAACAATTCATCTACGTTGCGATATAATAATTAAACAAAAATGTAAAATTCAAATCTTTATTAAAATTAAAAACTAACGAATTGATAAATTAAATAATTAATTAATTTCTCGTTAGCCGTTTTCAATATTATTTAAAAATTTGAAAAACATCGTATTTAATTTAATTAAAAATACTTTTATATTTCGTATTTTTAATTAAATTAAATTCGAGCAGAAATTGTATTATAAAAATTAATAAATTCTAAAAATATTAAATCATTTCACGTTTAAAATCTTTGAATTTTCATTTTTCACAATTTTCAGTTTCGAAAAATAACTAAATAATTAATAAAATTTAAAAAAAAAATTGAAATTCGTTCTTTTAAATTTCATAAAATGTTGTTTTACCTTTTAAAAGTAAATGACCACTTATAAAATAAAAAAGCAAAAAAAAAAAAAAAAAAACACACACACGGTAAATGGATACTCCTTAAGAACAGTTGACCGTTACTCTCTCGTGATTTTTTTTCTCCTATTTTCACGGTTAGTACGGTCCATCGAGATTGGCATTAGGGTCGTACTCTCCGGATCCTGACCTCGCAAATCCTGTCTCATAAGAGATTCTTGGCCGGAAGCCGTTCGAATCGGCTTCATAGTGGACAATTTGCTTTCGTCCATCTGGTAAAAGAACGGAATAGACACCTTCAGTTGAATCACCACTACGTTTTTCTTTGTGGCCAAAGTCGTTTCCGTATCCATCGTTAACGGAATATTCGAAACCGTATTTTGCCGGCGTCTAAAGAAAGGAAAAATTAGATTTCACCCCAAAATTGTTTCTCTTCCGGAGTATTATACACTTTTAAAAGCATATAGCAAAAAAAAAAGCTCCTACTTTGAAAATAATCGAAAATAAATTAAGTGAAATATACAATTTTTTTGCAGACATATTTTTTTGTAGAGGAAAAAAAAGAGAAAAAAAATATTAAAAAATATGATTAAAAAACGAGTAGTAGAAAAAATAATAGTAAGAGAAATAAAAAGCATAAGAAAAGAAATAAGAAAAAAATATTTTAAAAAATAAGAGTAAAAAACGAGTAGTAGAAAAAATAATAGTAAAAGAAATAAAAAGTATAAGAAAAGAGATAAGGAAAAAAATATTAAAACAAAAATAAGAGTAAAAAACGAGTAGTAGAAAAAATAATAGTAAGAGAAATAAAAAGTATAAGAAAAGAGATAAGAAAACAAATATTAAAAAAAATAAGAGTAGAAAACGAGTAGTAGAAAAAATAATAGTAAGAGAAATAAAAAGTATAAGAAAAGAGATAAGAAAAAAAATATTAGTAAAAACAAGAGTAAATAATGAGAAAAAAGGTAATAATAAAAAATAATAAAAAAAGAGCAATAAGAAGAAAAGAATAGAGAAAAAAATATTATTCAGTGAAAAAAATATAAGAATAATAGGAAAAAAAAGAATAAGAAAAATAGTAATAAGAGAGAGAAAGGAATAATAACGAGGAAATAAAAAATAAAAATGTAAATAAAAAATAGTGTAAAAAATTTAAAAGAGTTTTTGGAAGTTCATTACGTTGTTGACGGTTTCCGGGTTCTTTTCTACATTTATGACACGTTTAATCATAAATAATATGAAAACAGTCACAATATTGTCAACTTGTTTTAAGGAAGAAAAAACAAAAAAAATTATGTATTATACGTGAGATATTGTTGGCTACTGGTCATTAATCACACATCTCGGAGCTTTGTTAGCAAAATCACCGACTTTCTGGCTGACCGTACGTGTTTGTAACTACTGCGATAATATGCACACCGCGCACACTTTTTTTTCTTCTTCACTTATTTATTATATTTAAACTTATCTTTTATTTTCAAATTACACAACCTTTTTAAACATATTTTGTAATTTATTATTAAAATTACCTATTATTATTTTTAAAATAAATTTAAACTCGAAATTTCAATTTATAATGGAATCAATTACATAAATGAATTAACGCACCAAATAATAATAAAAAAAAATTGTATACAAAGCTTTTCTTTTATAATTATTTTCTACTTTTGAAAAATTCACAACATTTATGGTGAACAATTTCGAAAAAAAATATTTTTGTAATTAATTTTTTTTTCAATTTTTTACCGAAAATATTTTGACAAAATCTCTCAACTAACAATATTTTTAAATTAAAAACTTCTAAACAAGAATTTTTATTATTTTTGACATAAAAATTGTATGTTTTTCTCCAATTGTTGATTGTATTTTTCATAAAATTCAATAAACTTTATGAATTTCACTTTAGTTATTATCTACATATATACTAAAAATTAGTTCTTGTCACTAATATTATTTGATTATTACTGTTTTTTACTTTTTTTATTTAAAAATTTTTGTTTCGTATCAATTTGAATAAAAATAAGGTTTACACCAATGTTAATTTTAACACTGTCAACTTAAAAGTATCAAATTGCAACGAATTGATACCAAAAATGTGCATCAAATAAAAAATTGATCTACATTTTTGGCATTAATTTGACCCACTGTGGTATCAATTTGATACTTTTAAAAAAATTGTGACTTTTTTTTTAATAACAATTCACAGTTTTTCTAAGGATATCAAATTGAGACAAAAAACGAATCAAAACGTTGCCTCGCATCAACACTTTGTTAAAAACAATAAAAAACGAATCAAAAGTGTTGCGAAGCAACGTTTTGATTCATTTTTTGTCTCAATTTGATATCCTTAGAAAAACTGTGTTTGGAACAAATTGTTAACAAAAATGTGGATCAAATAAAAAATTGAGTTACATTTTTGGTATCAATTTGAGCTAATTTAGTATCAATTTGATACTTTCAAGAAAATAAATAAATAATAAATAACTGTAACAACAAAATCGAGTAGTTGATTCAAACATAATTTTTTCTAAGTGTATCAATCCAATGCCAGAATAAAAGTTCAAAACCAAAAAACTGTAGTGTCCTCAAAAGGGTTCTCAAACCTTATGCTAATTTTCCAAAAAAACAAAAAAAGACGTTCTATATTTTTCAGAAAGTTAAAAATGAAAAGCAGAAGCGCAAGCGTGAAGAAAAGCAAAGAAAAGCTTCTAAAAAAATAAAATTTCAATTTACCGTCACTTCAATAGCATTATAATCATAACCAAAATTTTGCGAATTTCCAAATTGATTTGACGGAAGATACTGGGCCGATGGAGCCTTTACAATCGTCGTGGTCGTCGTCGCAGTTGGCGGCGTCAAAGAACCAACAGAATCTGCAGCAAAGGATTTTCCAATGATTCTGCTTTGACCTTGGCCAAATCGAGTGATGCGATCACCGGGTAGGTAGACGTTTGAAGGTGCATCAATTCCACTGTGAGTTAAAGTTTGACTACTGCGAATTGATGTGGAAGAAAAGGGAGTCATTGTCACGGGAAATGGTGAGTTTGTTTGTCGATTAGCTGGCAGGTAATTTGCAGATGGAAGAGTTGGAATTACGACGCTTTGACGACTGCTGGGAAGATAAGTGGATGCTGGAAGAGATGGACCAGAACTTTGACGTTCCAACGATGGCAAATACTGACTGCTTGGAATGACATTTTGAGAATTCGTGTACTGATTAGCTGGTAAATATTGGGACGATGGAACAACCGCAATCGGAGGTCGCAATTCATTTGGCGGTAAATAACGTGATGAAAGAGATGAACCTGGTGGTTGATAACCAGAAGGTTCCAAACTTCCCACAGCCGAACTTGCAACTAGCGATAAAATTATCAGGACCTGTAAATTTTAATTAGAATTTTTTGCAACAGAAAACACTTGGATTTGGTTTTTTTAGCATTTTTTCTTTCGAATGATTATTTGAAACACTTTTTTGCACTCTGCAGAAGGACAAAATTAAACATCTACAAGTTTACAAATCAGCAAATTTGCAAATCTATCAAAACTTTAAAAACTGCTAATTTATTAGTCTACTTTGTGTGCAATTTTTCTTAGAAGTTTAAAAGTCTACTTAATTATTCTGATTGCATTCTACAAAACTACCAATTTTCATAACTGCAAATATTCAAAATTTCAAATTGAAAAAATTCTTAGGTTAAAAAATTTACAAATCTACAAATTTACTATTTACAAACCAACAAATATACAAATCTATACTAATTCAAAAATATACAAAAAAATACAATTTTTCAAATCTACCAATTTAAACATATTTTTTCCAAATTACATTTCTACCACTTTATAAATTCATAAATCTACAAATTTTCAAATTTTTAAATTTACAATAATTTACAAAATTAAAAAAAGTAAAATTTGCAAACCAGTAATTTACAAAAAGAAAATAAATCTGAAAATTGACCAATTTAAAAAAAACAGAAAATTACAAAACAACCAATTTTAAAAATTCTCAAATTCACAAATTTGCAAACTGACCAAACTACAAACATAAAAATTTACAAATCTAAAATTCTACCGATTGACAAATTTAAAAATTCAAATTCACTATTTTAAAAAAATCCCAATTTACAAATCTACGAAATTACAAATTAAAAAATATGCCAATATGCCAATATGCCAATATGACAATATGACAATTTATGAATTCATAAATTAATAAATAGAAATTATCAAATTTACCAATTTATAAAAAAAAATGCGAAAGTGCAAATCTTCCAATTTATACAAAAAAACAAATATAAAATCACAAATCGAACATTAAAAAAATTGATAAATATGCTAATTTACAAATTTACAGGTTTAATAATAATAAATAATACAAATTTCCCAATTTACCAATTTAGAAAAAAATTTCAAATCAATCAATTTAAAAATTTACAAATCTACCTTCTTGTAAATTGAAAAAACCACAATCATACAAAGATACAAATTTAAAATTCTTCAAAATTTACAAATTTAAAAAAACACTTTAAAATTCACAAATTTAAAAAAAAATCCATTTTACAAATCCAGAAAGAAATAAAAATTTGCAAATCTACCAATTTGCAAACCTGACAATGAACAAAAAATACAAAATTAGGAATCTACCAAATTAAATGTTCACGAATCTACCAATTAACAAAAAAAATTGTAATTCTGACAATGACAAAAAATGCAAAATTACGAATCTACGAATATAAAAGTTTACAAATCTACCAATTTAATATTTTACAAATTTGCGAATTTTCAAATCTACCAATTTATAAAAAATTGACAATTTTTAAATCTACCAATTTACACAAAAATGTAAAATTTCCAAATCTGACAATTTAAAAAAAATTACAAATCTACCAATTAAAAAGTTTACAAATCTACCAATTTAATATTTTATAAATTTGCGAATTTGCAAATCTACCAATTTACAAAAAAAAACAAATTTGCAATGACAATGAACAAAAAATACAAAATTTCGAGTCTACCAATTCAAAAGTTTACAAATCTACCAATTTTAATTTTTTTTAAATTTGCGAATTAGCAAATCTACCAATTTACAAAAAAATTTGAAATTTACAAATCTACCAATTTACAAAAAAAAAAACAAATTTGCAATGATAATGAACAAAAAAAATACAAAATTACGAATCTATCAATTCAAAACTTTGCAAATCTACCAATTTAATATTTTATAAATTTGCGAATTTGCAAATCTACCAATTTACAAAAAAATTGAAATTTACACAAATTTGCAGTGACAATGAACAAGAAAAATACAAAATTACGAATCTACCAAATCAAAAGTTTACAAATCTACCAATTTCAATTTTTTTTTAAATTTGCGAATTTGCAAGTCTACCAATATACAAAAAATTTGAAATTTACAAATCTACCAATTTACAAAAAAAACAAATTTGCAATGACAATGAAAAAAAAAAAAATTTCGAAACTACCAATTCAAAAGTTTACAAATCTACCAATTTTAATTTTTTTAAATTTGCAAATCTACTAAGATACAAGAAAATTACAAAACTACAAAACATTTTTCTTGAGACTATCAAATTGATATCAAAGTAAATCAAATTGATACCAAAAATTTAGATCAATTTATGATTTAATCCATCTTTTTGGTATTAATTTGTTGCAATTCAATACTTTTAAGTTAACAGTGAAATCTTCTAATTTAAATATTTGCAAATCTATAAATCTACAATTTCACAAATTCAACAAAATAAAAATTTTTGAATCTACTAATTAAGAAAAAAAATAGAAAATTATAAATCTACCAAATATAAAAATTTGCAAATCTATCCATTTATTAAAAAATATAAATTTTCAAAACTACCAATTTACAAAAAATCTAAAATCAAGAAACTACCAATTTAAAATTGACAAATCTACATATTTGTAAATTTACAAACCTACAAATTTGTAAAACTGCAAATTTTCCAATTTACAAAAAAATTCAGAATTAAAAATCTACCAATTTAAAATTTGACAAATATCCATAATATGGAGTTTTGTAAATATTATTTGCAAATTTACAAACCTACAAATTTGTAATACTGACAATTTTTTAATTTACAAATTTACAAATTTACAAAATAACAGATTTACATATCTGCAAATTTAGAAATCTACAAGTTTTCAATTTTCGTGAAACTTTACATTTTGTAATCCCCCTTTTGCAAGAGCCAAACATTAGCAATTCTTTTCTTTTATTCTAACAACAAAATCAAGAATTTTTTGCAAAAAAAGCATTTCTGTGGAACACAAAAAAATCACTAGTAATTCAAAAACAAAAAAAGCACGCGTATCCACAATATTCCGAAAAGAAGGTGTTTCTTCTTTTTTTTTTTGCAAATAATCTCACCTTCATGTTTCTTCCGCGGATAGACAAAAAGATTTGATTGAACGCACGTGGTTCCTTCCTTTTATAGAAGGTAGAAGAAGGTCTCCTGAACGTACGCACGCGGCGAAAAAGAGAATGCTCCCCATCCTCCTAACTAAACGCACTTGAGACATTATTCATCTTCAATGTATACAGATGAGCGATGAACGCATCAGCAAAAAAGGTATAAATTATTTCGCAATACGAACTGTAACATCGAGAGCAAGGACGTGAATGTTAACGCAACCCAAAACATCTAGAGGTCGTCTTGTCTAATCACTTTTGTGAATCCTGACTTGTCCCCTCCCGATAATAATAATAATCATGATCATCATCATCATCATCATCACAATCATAATCATCCTTGATACCATAAAAATTTTTAAACTTCAAGGCCTTTCACTCCCATTGATCGTCAATCGACCAACTTCCTGGCGATCAAATCCTCAAGTGCTTTCCACGCTAATTAGGCACGTTTCTTCTTCATATCGCATTTTTTTCTTAGTCGGCATAACATTATAAGGGGAGCAAGGTTACAAAAAAATAATTAAACTTCTAAACGAAAACTTGGGTCAAAATTGACCTTAAATTGATCTTCGTAATTTTTTTCCTCCATTTCAGCTACTGCGGAACTATTTTTTCTTTCTACCTCCAAATATTGCGCAAGATGATAAAAAAAAAATGGGAGTTCAACCTCGTTCCGGAGATGTACGGATATACCGCTCGTTAGCAGGAATTAAAATGTGTGTCTGAGATGCAAACCTCGATTTGAATGGATTACGAAAAAGAAAGTCAACAAGATAATAAGTGGGAAAAATAAAAATTCATATTTTTTGGTAGCATTGTTTGCGATATTACTGTAATAATTAAATTAAATTTAAGGCGTGTATTGAAAATGAAAAGATATCAGAAATCGCAATGATTTATTCATTTAAACTGAGAGGATTTTGAGTTAAAAAAAAAGGAGGATTATTTAAATTAAGAAAAAAAATTCTGTTTTGTTAATGTAAAAAAAAACTTATCTTTTCGCACATATAATTTATTTTTAAATGTGAATTAATTGAAAATAATTAATTGTTTAAATTAATAAAGAATAATGATAAATAAAATAATGTAAATAAAATAATATAAATAAAATAGATGAAATAAAATGAACAAAAATAAAATAACAATAAATAAAAATGAATAATTTAATAATAAATTTACCCACATCGAAAAATTTCATGGAAGTACCCCCTGGAAATTCCATAGAATTTCCGTGGAGATTCCATAGAAATTTTGCAAGTTTTATATTTTAATATTATTTTAACATTTATATTAATTGAAAGATTAGAGTCTAATAATAAGCTTTGTTGCAATTTATTTGCAAAACTTGAATGAAATATGCAATTTGCAAAAAAATTGCAACAAAGCTTATTTTTCTAATCATAATAGAAATGTTAAAATATTATTAAAATAAGAAACTTATAGAATTTCCCTGATTTTTCCCTGATATTCAGACAACATTTTGAATTTTTCCCTGATAATAAAGAATATTCTGATTCACTCTAAAAAATTAGATACTCAAAAATTTGTTCTATTACATTTAATTACGAACTTTTTTTAATTGTAAAATTATTCCAAAACACAAATAAATTTTTTTTAAATAAATATTTAATTATTATTATTTCAAATTTAAATTTCCATAAAATTTTTCAAAAAAAAAAATAAATAAATTATTTACAAAAATTTTAATAAAATCCTTCCCAAGAATTTAATTATTTTTACAAGTAATAAAATTGTTCACATGCATTCAATTGTTTAAAAAAATGTAAATAAAATTCGTTCTAAACATTCAATTATTTTCATAAATAATAAAATTTTTCAATTAATTGCAATTATTTTTAATACAATTTTAAATAAATTCCTTAAAAAATGTAATTATTTTCGAAAATTTTTTACAAGAATTCAATTACATTTCACAAATAATAAAATTGTTCGCTGAAATTTAAATATTTTCAAAATCTACAATTTTAATAAAATTTCTTAAATGAATTCAATTAAATTTTTTAAAAAATGTAATAAAATGCGTTGCAGGAAGTCAATTATTTTCATAAATAATACAATTATTTACAGGATTTCAATTATATGAAAAAAAAAATTAATAAAAATTCGTTGCAAGAATTCAACTATTTTCATAAATATTAAAATTCTTCACAGGATTTCAATTAGTTCAAAAAAAATTTAATTAACATTTTTTTACAAGAATTCAATTATTCTCCTAAATAATATAATTCTAAACAGAATTTCAATTATTTTTAATACAATTTTAAGTAAATTCTTTGAAAAATGTAATTATTTTCAAACATATTCAAAATTCTATTATTTTTTAAATTCATGCTTTAATGCTTTTAATATTCAATTATTATGTAAAATTTTAACTGAAATTTATTTATAAATCAATTTTTATTGGAAAATTCTACGAGAATTCAATTATTTAAATACAAAAATAAATAATTTATTGAATAAATAAATGATTTTCAAAATTGAATCCTCATAAAGAATCTTATCAACAAATTTTTAAATAATTGAATTTTTTCTTCTTTTAAAAAATTTTATTATAAAATAGTAGATATTGAAAATTACTGAATTGAGAAAAATTTTTGAAAATAATTAAAATTTTGACAAGAATTTTATTAAAATTTTTAAAAATAATTGAATTTTGGAGAAGAATTTTATTATTTTTAAAGATAATTGAAATTTTGACGTGGCATTTTAAAAAATTTTTGAACATAATTGAATTTCTTCAAAGAATTTTATTACTATTTTTTTAGCAGTTAAAATTTTTTTTTACTAAAGTTTTATTAAAAACTGACTAAAAATTAGTAAAATTTCTTACAAAATTTCATTCATTTAGATTTAAAAAAAACGAATTAAAAAAATTCCTAGTTTAAAAACATTTAATTTTCTAAACTTGAATCTTTCTTTTTTGAAAAAAATGAAAGAATTTTTTTTTTCTCCGACATAACGAAACTATTTAATAATTTACTACAAAAGAGAAAATTAAAATATTTTTTTAAAAGAAGAAAAGTTGGGGAAGGGGAAAAATAGAAAATTTAAGTGGTATTTTCAGGAAAAAGAAAAAAATTATTCAAACTCTGATCTCTGTTTTTTTTACCAAAGAATGAATTCTCAGTCAATAAAAAAAAATTACACTTCTGTTATAAGCGATTTTCTCTTAATTTTTTTTTTAAATAGAACTTTTAAATTTGAAATTTAAAAAGAACGTGGAAGGAAACCATTGAAAATTTTTTATTTCTCTTTTTAACCTTCTTTTAATTGCCAAAAGCTAACTCTTTCAATAATAAGTTGCTCTAACTTTAAAACAAAGTTTTAAAACATTTTATGTTTTTGAAGGAGTTACTTTTCAATTTTATTGTAATTAAAAATTCTCTTTTAAAATAAGAGCAAAAGTTTTTTTTCTTTTCTCTTTTTAGGTATAGAAATTGTGCGTCTTACATATTTTAAAACACTTTGCTGAAGAAAATACCTATTCCCGCTCATTTTCCACGTCATGAACAAAGTTCTTATTGTAAAGTTTTCAAACTATATTTTAATAAAGTAGTTGCTGGTCCAATTTACAGAAAATTTCCCTAATTTTTCAATTATTTACAAGGGAAATTTCGCAAATGTAAAATAATATTTTTTAATAAAATTTAAATTTAAATTTAGTAATAAAAATTTTTGTATATTTATTTGAAAGTTCATAACTTTAGGGACATTTTATTCTTTTATATTTTTAAAAAATTTTTATTCAATATTTATTTTAAAGAAATAAATAAATTCTAATATTTTTTACTCCTAGACAGATAAAATCATTTACTTTCTCATTTTAAAAATATACTCTAAGTGTTAAAATATTTTTTTAATAGAAAGTCAGGATATTTTTAAATTTAAGAATATTACTTTTCCTGTGATAAAATCAATTAAACTATTAACAGTTTTTCTTTTTAAAGTTTATTATAATTATGCTCGCTTGTCAGAATAATTGTAAAATATTCTTCATTAAAAGAACCGCGAAGTAATTCATACTGTTATGTATCATATATGGGAGAGCATGAGAATTATTTCACGAAATTACTCAAATTTATGAATTTTATAGCCCAGGAGAATATTTAAGCAATCATTAAAATGCGTAAAACACACAGTTTATTTCGTAAAGAATAGCGAGTATATTAATTACTATGCTATACTTCCGTAATTTCTCCCAGTGCGCAAGAAAAAAAATCTTCACAACAAAAAAAAAAATTAATTCCAAAAATCAATTTATCATCAAATAATTCTTATATTTTTTACATCACAGTGAAATTCACAATGTTCATAATCAACAATTTGGAGGAAGAAAAATTTTTCTATAAATTTTTGTTTAAAAAATGTTTTACATAGTCTTTTGATCAACTAAAAAAATTTTAATTTTACGCTTGAAAAATTTGTTTACAAATATTGTGAACTTCAGTAACGTTATTTTTTATTTTTACTCGTATTCACAATAAATAAACGGTATACAAATGAATAATTTTTACGATATGAAAATAATATATATCTGTACAAATAAAAAATGTCGTTACAGTAAAAAAATATTTATTTTTATATTTATTATTTTATTTAGAATGAATTTATAAATATTTTGTTGACGTTTGATAAACTTTTCGATTATTTGAATGAAATATTTTTTCCAGTGAGATAAAAAAAAAACTTCTCCCTTTATTAAACTGCGCCCTTTTAGACGCATAAAGAAAACAAATTCTTTTTTCTAATAAGAAAAAAAAATGCTCACTGATGATACCATAAACTCTCTTAACTTATGAAAAAATACTTTAGCTTCAAACATAAAAGATTGCAACTTCTCGTAAAACCATTTTCTCATTTTTTTCTCTCTCTCTTTTTCTCCAACCAAGGGATATAGGGAAATATTTTGTTATGCACGTTTGTACATAGATATAAAATACAAAAAAAAAGAACAAGACACTGGGAAATATTATTAGAAAATAAAGAAAAAAAAACACTGCTCTGATAAGATTTTCTATTCTTATTTTATTAAAGAAAAAGATACAAAAGAAAAATAAATTAACGATGTTACATTTCAATAAAAATTTATGATATATTTTTGTATCTAGTAGGGTCCATTTTCATGGTCTCTGGTATTCTTGAATTTATCTCCACTCTTTTCGTAGGAGATTTTCGGTTTGAAACCATCAGCATCGGCTAAATATTCGACGATCTGTTTGCGACCATCAGGCAAGAGGACGCTATAAACTCCATACGACTTTTCATCTTGATGCTCCTCTTTGTGGCCGAACTCGTTTCCATAGTGATCATTTACTTGATACTCAAAGTTGTAATTTATTGGTTCCTAAAATACAAAACAAAAATTTACAATTTTCTCTTCTTCAATTTTTTCTCGATACATTTTTTTTTCTTTATTTGTTTGCCAATTCTCTTTTCTGTACTATAGAAATTTTTTGTTATTTTGAATAAATTCAGGGCTTGAACTAGGTCCGTAAATCCCGTAAAAGTTCGTAACTTTCCATGATGTCCGTAAAAGTCTGTTTTTTTTTTTAAAAAAAAGGTCCATAAAGTCCGCAATTTGATTCAAAAAGAATGAAAAGTTCGTAAATTGTACGATATAATTTGGAAAATTTTAGAGAAATTACAAATGATTGCAGAAATTCAATTATTTTCTAGAGTAATAAAATTCTTCGCAAAAATTCAATTATGTTCAAAAATTTTTAAAAAATTCTAGTCAAAATTTCAATTATCTTTAAAAATAATTAAATTCTTCCCCGAAATTCAAATATTTTTAAAAATTTTCCTCAATTCAATGATTTTCAATATCTACTATTTTCATAAAATTTTCCAAAAGAATTCAAAAATCCAAAAATCAGATTAAAATCAGATCAGATTTCAATTATCTTTAGAAATAATAAAATTCTTCTGTGAAATTCAATTATTTCTAAAAATTTTATTTATTTATTTATTTATTTATTCAAATATATACGGGCTGTGTAATATTCTTGGCAAAATTGCAATTATTTTCAAAAGTTTCCCTCAATTCAATGATTTTTAATACCTACTATTTTAATAAAGTTTTTTCAAAAAAATTCAAAAATCCAAAAATCAGATTAAAATCTTTGAAAATTAGAAATTATTCATATTTTTCACTAACAATTCTATGGAATTAATTTTTTTTGAGAAACTCTAATTGCAAATTTTTTTCGAAATTATTTAAAGTTTCTAATTTCTAATATTTATTTAATTGAAGAATTTACGAATAATTGAAATTTTCTAAAATTGAATTGTAAACAAATAAATTTGAAAATTCTTGAAGAACTTTTTCAAAAATTATTAAAAATAATGGATTTATAGAAGATGTTTAGTAAAAACAAGAAAAAAATTCAATTTTGTAAAAGTTACAAATTATTGCAAAAATTTAATTATTTTCAAAAATAATCAAATTCTAACCAAACCTTTAATTACTTTCATAAAGTAATAAAAATTTCACAGGAATTCAATAATTTACCATTTTTTTATATATTTCTTCGCAACGATTCAATTACTTTCATAAATAATAAAATTATTTACAGGGATTCAATTATTTTCGTTAATAATAAAATTCTTTTTAGTAATTCAATTATTTTTATAAATAATAAAACTCATTGCAGAATTTCAATTATTTTTAATACAATTTTAATAGAATTCCTCGAAAAATGTAATTATTCTTAAAATTTTTTATTAAAATTCGTCAAAAGAATTTAAATATTTAAAAATTTGTTGATGAAATTCTTTATGAGAATTAAATTTTTAGAAACATTCAATTATTTAATAAATTATTTATTTATATTTTATTTGTATTTTAATAATTGAATTCTAGTAGAATTTTCTAATAAAAATTGATTTAAAAATTAATTTCAGTTAAAATTTTAGATAATAATTGAATTTTAAAAGCAATATAGCGTGAATTTTTAAAAATAATTGAATTTTGAAATTAATTTTTTTGAAAAAGTTTAATTGAATTTTTTAAATATTATTTTAAGTTTTTATTTTCTAATATTTTTTTAATTGAAGAATTTACGAATAATTGAAATTTTGTAAAATTAAATATTATGAAAATTTGAAAATTGTCAAAGAACTTTTTCGAAAATAAAAATAATGGATTTAAAAAAGAATTTTAGTTAAAAATTCTTGTAAATAATAATTGAATTATAAATGATTTTATTACTCTGTCATATTTAATTATTATAAAACATGAAGAAACCGATGACTCCGAGTCGAAGACTCGGAGTTATCGATATCTTCATGTTTTACAGTTACGAAAAATTAAATTTCTATTTTTAAGTTAAATGTTCTCTTATTTGACTTGGACTGTTATATTTTTTTCAGTAATTGGTCCGTAATTTTTCATTTTTGTTCCGTAAAGTCCGTATATTTTTAAATACTTTCACTGGTTCGAGTTCTGTAAATTTTTTTTTGTTTTAATTTTTAAAATATAGCGGTATAAGATAGGTAAGATAAGATTTTCAAAAAGCAAAGGTTTAATTAAAATACTAGATCAAAAATAAATTCGCTTTTGTTTTTTTTTCCACTGCAGTTCATTAATGTAAGAAACCGGAGGAGTTGATCTCTTTATTTACCGTTTCAAAGTTAATGGAATGATACGGCAGGGACTCTTATAGAGGCAAGTTAATTAAATTAAGACAAAGGACAGTTGATTCTTAAAGGAGCATCATCATTGTTGATAAATTCAAGTAAAATTTTCAATGAGAAAATATTTGTTTGACAAAAGCGGATATAAATTGCAAGTGAAGAGAAATTTGCAAAAAGCAAAACTAATGGAAAATGATTGTAAAGTTAATGGATACAATAGATGAAAACTCACCGACTCTTCTCGAGTTTGATAACCATCTTCATTCGAATATCCAGAGCTAGGAATTTCCTTGGCCATTTTGCTCAATTCTATTGAGGGAACTCCGTAGGACGAAGATGGAAAGTTTATCGAATTTGGCACAGATGAAAAAGAGGACGAGGTTTTTGTGTTTGAGGATGCTGAAGAGTAGACTGTTGATGGTGTATTGTAGGATTTTGAGGATGGGAACGAAGATGTAGAAGAAGAGAAAGAATTCGGAGAAGAGTATGATGGAGCAGAGTAAGATGCAGCAGGAGAGTAAGATGTTGGAGCGGAATAAGATGCTGTAGGAGTGTAAGATGATGGAGCAGAGTAAGATGCTGCAGGAGTGTATGATGCAGCAGATTGAGATGCTGCAGAAGAATAAGATGATGGAGCAGAATAAGATGCTGCAGGAGTGTAAGATGCTGGAGCAGAATAAGATGTTACAGGAGAATAAGATGATGGAGCAGAGTGAGATGCTGTAGGAGAATAAGATGTTGCAGGAGAAGAGTACGAAGTAGAAGGAGAAGAAGCTAAAGGAAGTGCCTGATATTTTAAGGAATCATCTGAAGGTCCAGAGGAAAATGTGGGTCGAAAACTCGAAACTGAAGACGATGGTTGATAAACAGATGAGGAGGAGGGCAAACTAGATGAAAAAGAATTCTTAGAAGAAACCGAAGTCGTGTAAGTTGAATAGGAAGACGGACGGGGTTTGTAGTGAGCAGAAGTGGTACGATCGTTAACAGGCGCTAAGTATTCTCTGGCAGCTGGTTGAATCAAATTATCCCGCTGGGAATTGAAGGGTGGAAGATAGCGAGTGTCAGGATTTTGCTGAGAAGGCAATGCACGATAATCATTCAAGGAATCAGAACTTCCACTACTTTGCCTGTTAGCAGGAAGGTAACGAGTTGCAGGAGGTTGATAATTTGCTGGCTCCAAACTTGCAAAAGTGCCTGCCACAAGGCAAAGTGCCACGAACACCTAGAAATCAATTTCAAAAATTTAATTAAATCATTATTCCGAAATCCACTACTTTAGTGAAATAACACCAAAATTACAAAATGAAAACAAACTAAATAAAAAAGAAAATCAAAATAAAGAAAACAAAACGAAATAATAAAATAAAGAAAAGAAAAGAAGAAGAATAGAAAGGAAAAGTAATACTGTAAGTAGAAATCCACCTACCTTCATGTTGATCAGAAAAGAGTTGATGAAGATATGATGCTGATGATCGACACACCGATAACTTTTATACCGAAAATATTAACCCCACCAATATTAAAAATTCTCTTTCCGCATTAAAATAGATTTGCGCAATAATGGCAAAATGTAACAATCAGTTCAAGGCTGGGATGACCACAACCGAATCATCACCATCCCCCACCTCTCTTACTTTCGACCAAAAGGATCTTGAAACAGTGCCTAATTTGATCGATGTGGAAATACTTAAAATATTTCAATTTTTTTCTCTCTTTCTATTGTGCACTTTACCAATAATAAAGGTGTCAAATGTATTCACACATTCAACAAAAATGTATTCAAAAACAGTCATTTATATCTCCAACATAATGATTTTTTCATCATCACCATTTATTATATTATAACACCAATTAAATTTATTTTTTAACTAATTATCATCTAATAAAGTTTCCTATTTTTCTCAACCAATTATCATCTAATAAAGTTTTTAATTATCATAGCATTGTATATATTGTACAATATCTATCGATGTATGTAAGTTAAAATACTTAATTACCCTATCGCTATATATTATAATAGTAATGACACAAGAATAAAATTAAGCCGCGCGCGATCATTTCATTAGCATAAGAATTAATCCTTTCTATCTTCCTCTCTCGTGAGAGGATTGACTCACCAACAAAAATTTATACTTAATCAATCAAACCTTCTTCTTCTTCTTCTGTTATAATAACAGACTAATGGAATTGCATAAACGAAACAGTTTTATTTTTTTGGTGCATCGCACAACTGAGAATTTCTTAAGGCCACTTTTTTTTATCTTTAAAAACAAAAATCTAATCTTCAAAAAAATGAACAAGAAATTTTCGCATAAATCAAGAGGAAACAAACTTAAACTTTTATTAGCCTATTATGTAGAAATTTATAACAGTGAATTTTTCGTGACTAAAGTAGATTTTCTTTGCTGCAATTTATAGGAGGTTATCTCACGTCGTTTACTTTTTTATAATAATAAAAATCTATCTTTTAATATTATATTTTTATTATTCACTTGAAGTAAACGAACAGTAAACAAACAGTAAACGAACAGTAACAAATAATTAAATAGAAAATAAAATTTAAATATTAGCAAATTTTTATTTCACTTACACTAAAAAAGGATAGAAATTTCAAAAAGGGAAAATTTACAACTACCGAAACTGTTAAACTAAATTCAAGCGGAGTAAATTTTTTTCTCTCATAATATTATTTTTGCATAAAACATGGAAAAATTATTTAAAAAGTTTATGAACTGAATTGCTTGTGGATATTTCTTTTAGAATAAGTGTATATAATTTTAGAATAGGGCGATAAAGTATAAGCATGCAAAACGTGCTTGCTTACACGATAACTTATTAACATTCGAGCTTTACAGTGTGTGGACCGCATTAACATAAACCTGGGGTCAAGATTGCCTCTCTCGGTTAACATGTAAAACTTTTTGATCGCGTGATGACACGATCTATGACGTCTCTATTCAGCTAAAGCTCATATCAACGTCTTCCAGGAATTATATATAATTCTCGATTTTAAATTGCTTAAATCTACAAAATTGCTACATTATAGAATATATTTTCTGTTTTCATTATTCTTTTTTCTTCTAATTTTTACTGTACTATATTATTCTTTTTTATTCTATCATTCTACTATTATTACTGTTCTAATTATTCTTTTTCTTTACACTAGTTTTACTGTTCTAATAATATTTAGATTTAGAAGCAAATTTTAATTTTTAGTTATGGTTGGTAATAATTAACTGTGTACTAAAATTGTTAAAACTATTGTTACAACTATGATTTAGATTATAAGCTGTATTATCTCTTGGCTGTATTAACTATAACAGTAATTACCATCCATATAATTATTAACACAACTGTGATTAATGATTAGATGTATTATTTCCTAGCTGCATTAGCTAACAGTAATTACTATCCACAAATAATTATTATCACAGCTATGATTAATTATTAGCTATATTTATCTCTAAACTTTATTAGCAAATAGTAATTATAATCCATATAATAAATCCCAGTGATCAAAGTGATTTTTTCATGTAATATTAGCTAAAAAAGGGGGTTTTTAATTTTTAAAAAGGGGATTCAGTTTAAAAAAAAATTTAATCAGTTCCATAAAAATATATGTGGTATTAATTTACTTAAATAATTATTTACTCACGAAACAAATTCGCCAGGAAACGTATGTTATTTAACTCACCTGAAACAAAAAAATACTCTATATTAGAATTATTATAAAAAAAAATAATTTATGAATTATAATTTCATGGATGATAGTGATAGTGATTTTTTCATGCAATATTAGGCAAAAAAAAGATTTTATTAATTTACGAACAAAGAATAACCAGTACGAGTCAAATAAGAGAATATTTTATACTTAAAACTATATAAATTAAATTTTTCATAACTATAAAACTATAAAAAATAAAAACTTAAAATAATATTAAAAAAATTCAATTAAACTTTTTCAAAAAAAATTAATTTCAAAATTCAAAAATTTTTAAAAACTCACGCTTCAAAACATTCAAACTAACAATAATTACTATGCATATAATTAATTTTTAGCCATTTATGCCAAATTATTTACAAACACTTTAAAAGGACGAATGATTTATTACTTTTTCTTATCGACAATTTGCATTATCCAAAGGAGAAATAATCTGCGAAGCAGTAAAACTAATAGCAGACTATTATTTCCAAACTGTCGAAAATGATCAATAGAAGTTTGTAAATTCAGAAAAAGCGTTTCATTCAGTATTAAATATTTCAGTTGCAACACGATTATTCAAGATTATCCCTCTGAAGGAGGAAATAAATTTCTACATACTCCAGAATGTGCTTTTTATCCTTATTTTTTTGAATTAATAAATTGCTTTTATTCAAAAAGATACAAGGATGGAAAAAGCAATGCAAAGGTTTAAATAAAGCAATAAAAATGAGAGAAAATGTCAATACAAAGATGCAGAAAAAGAAATACAAAGATGCATAAAAAGCCATAAAAAAATGGAAAAACGCAAAACAAAGATGGAAAAAGAGCAATACAAAGATGCAGAAAGAGTAAGACAAAGATGCTGCATTCTTTGTTCTAATTAAATAAATACAAATCTGCAGAAAAAGCAATACAAAAACAACAATAAAAAGATACAAAAAAAGATACAGAAAAAATGCAGCACAAACAAATAATAACTCTCCAATAATATTATTAATCTACCGAAAAATCAATACAATTATTAATGGTGAATAAATAATTTTCGAGGAAGCAATACAATTGCAAATATAGATATATATTTTAATTGTGAATAACAATCCTCAGAGAGTGGTCATTGACATTTTCGACAGATCGTCCACGATGCACTCAAATCCACCTACACAGCAATCCATTTACATAATAGAACACCCCTGCGTTTACTCGAACAATCGACATCTGACAAAATATTGATGTATTCCATCGCTCAATACCTCCTTTATATGTGTATATATGTATATACGAATACATATTATATAGAATGAAGAAATAATTTTTAAGAAAGGATCAATCGTGCCTCTATATGTTATGAAATTCTAAAAAATCTCCCGTCTAAATAAAGATTGCACAAAACAAAAATCATTTCATTTCTACTTATGGATTTGAATGAACAATGAAGCATCGCGCATAGACAATGAGTTCATCATTTTGATATTGAGATGACGCATCATGACCTTGCTCGAAATTTATACTTGCGACGCTTAATAAAAATTCTGTTTCGTTGTAAAAAGGATTATTGGAAATTATAATCATTTCCAATGAGAAGATTATTCAAAACAATTATGTTCATTATTTTCTTGTGAATATAAATAGAATATAAATAAAACTGAATTTATATATCGAATTTGAATCAAAAATACAGAAAAAGAACTCAAAAAATTTATGTTGATTTCTGAAGAACTGTTTTTAGATTTGTGGTAAAAAATTTGAAAACAATTCAGTAATCAAGGAAACAATCTAAATGTATAGGAGTCAGTACTATTTTTTTTATTTTTCTCGTTAAGAGCGAATGTAAGTGAATATAAATACCGGATGTGAATATAACAATACAAGTTGATGTAGTTTGAGAGTAAAAGTCATTTACATGTCATGGGTTGATCTTTGCATCGAAAATCTATTCAGAATTCCTAGATAGTTAGGGAACCATTGTACCCCCGCACATCTACTATGGCATCAGAGGAATTGAGAGAAGACCACTTACTACAGGGAGAGCCACTTTAGAGACCTTCGATCAACCTACAGACTTCAATCTTCTCCGAAACGTGATCACTTATTATATTAAGAGAATTTCCTCCCGTAAAAGCGTCTGAAATCTTATCCTATAAAACCTCATAAATTACTAATATAAACCAGAAAGCATTTTAAGGAACGGAAGTTTAATCATATTCATCTATTTTTAACTGTAATGCAAGGTTATTTTTTAATATTCGGAACTAAAATTTTAATTACACTGAGAAAAATAATTACTGTTAACATTTGAGTGTTAAAATTGTAAAATGTCTACAAAATATTTTGTTAACACAAGCTAAAAAATTATTTGAAGCTGAACAAAACAAAGATTTTGTTGTTTCAACTAGTTTTTGTTGCACATTTATCAAAATTAAACATTTTTTAAACCGAATTTTAGTTAAAACAAGCAAATAAATGCATTGCTATACAAGTAGTACAACAAAATAAAGTATTTGATTCAAACAAAATTTTCCTTAAGTTCGCGTTTACAAAAATCTGTAAATTCTCTAAATATTGTTTTGCAACATTCAAATATTGCTCTTTAATGTTCAAATTATTGCAAGATTCAAAAATTGTGTTGTGACATTCAAATATTCATTTACAACATTGAAAAATTGTGTTACAACTTTTAAAAATTGTGGTACAACTTTTAAACATTGTTTTGCAACATTCAAAAATGATGTTACAACATTCAAAAAATGTATTGCAACATTCAAAAATCGTACTACAACATTCAAATATTCTTTTGAAACTTTCAAAAATT